TACTCAAAACATTTTTTGTTTATCTTTGCAAAATTATAACAAACTAGCTGTTACCCGCGACTTCGCCCGCAAAAATTTTGCAAGCAAACCCCATTTATATTCAGTATTTCAACAACCATAGTAATTGTTATACAGTCGACCCCTATAACTCTATAACTCTATAACTCTATAACATTGTTGATTTTTCCGTTTTATATGAATTCCATGTTGTACGAGTCACTTAGACTTTACAAATACGCGTGCCGGGCTGTGAACGGCTCACGTATTTGTAAAATGTAAGTGACTCGTACAACATGGAATTCATATAAAACGAAAAAAAATCAACAGTGTTATAGGGGGTCGACTGTATAACACCTACCGCTGAGAGTGATGAGAATTGCTGAGAATCAAACGAACTATTTTCAATTTGATCAATTTTCTGGGACGTTTACAATCGTTCTATAATCGAACCAATATGCAATAACAAATTCGAATTTAAAACGGTTCGAAAACTTTAAAAATCGAAATAGATAAAAATATTTATAACAATGTCTGAGATATTATTAATGCAGCCGGATGGCCGAGCGGTCAAGGCAGCAGCCTACCGCTCTGGGGGACCCGGGTTCGAATCCGAACGGGTCGAAAAATCCCCAGAAATTTTTCGGGGGGTGGGTCCGTTCGGATATATCGGGCACCGTCCCTCACTACCCGGCTGTCCCATTGCGGGCCTGGCCGAACCCACAATGGGCTTGTGAAAAGAGGCTCTCTTAGTGCCCACAGAGCGGAAAGAGTTAAAAAAAAAAGAAATGTTATTAATTTAATACACCTAAGTACTCGATGAAAACTAACTCCTCTCCCCCGGGGGGAATTTCGAAAAATCCCTTCTTAGTGTGCATTGCCATGGCGTACCCTACTAAAACGCAGATAAAAACAAAAAATCACATATAAAATAGTACAGTAGAAGCCATTGTTCCGGTTAATCCTTAATGGTCTCCCTCTCCCCCCGCGGGGGAATTTCGAAAAATCCCTTCTTAGTGTGCGTTTCCATGACGTACCCTAACTGTCTACCAAATTTTAAGCGGTTTGCTCTGGGCGATGATGAATCAGTCAGTCAGGACAAGCAATTTTATATATTTAGATAATGAATTTTTATGTAGGTATTTTGGATATGCATTTACAAATGTGATGTTTCTAGGGATTTTTTTAGATTCAAACCCCACTCCCGTGGCTCACAAATTGGCCACAGGTCGGTGATCTACTTTCTTGTCAGGGATGGTAGTAACGTTCGGTTACGCGTTACGCGAGTGGAGAAGAGTCGGAGGGGTCGACGATAAGACGTTGGCAAAGTCGAGTAACGACACCATTTAAAAAACAAAACAAGAGTTTATTAACCTAACTAACTAAATAAAATTTATACAAAACTTCTTAGACTCCGCGGATGAGAGAGAGTTTACAATAACAAGCGTTCATACCTCTTTTCATATACTAGTGGGATATTTTCCCGTAATGTCGTCCTTTATGGATTCTGATCGGTGACACAGGTATAGATCGGCGACGAAAGTGTAGGGCTGCGATGGAGAAGGCGATGTCTGACTTCGACGTTCGCCGATTCCCCCGATGAGGAGAAGGTGTCGGGCTTTTATACCTTTTTCGGTGGGAAAATTAGTCAGGTGATCAATCGTTTTAGCAGGTGTGGGGTTAAATTAAAGGTGGTGATCGAATGACAACAATATGACGAATTTTGCCTGTAAGTGTAAACTATTCACGGTTTGATTGTGAGAATGTTTATAGTTAAACCGAAAGAGTTATAAATTTCTCATGCACTTTATATTTCGTTTTTGTAGGTCCAAATTCCTTTACTTAAAGGAATTTTTATTTAAATTTATTAAAAATTTAAAGGATTGCTTTCTTTTATGACATTATATGAATTTCGAATTTCACACAAATATTTTAAATGATGGTAATAGAGAATTTTAGTCCAGTTATAAGAACATAAAATAAAATCGATTTGCTAGGCATTTTAATTAAGTACTGAGTATTTGAAAACATTTTCGTCTCTATAAATTAACTTCAATTTTACTTTCCTCCGGTTATGTATATAGTACATAACAAAGGAAAGTATAAGAATTGTGTCGAATTTGACCCTAGGAGTTATTTGTAAATCTCCACGTTTCGAGACCTCTAGAATCCAAGAAAGTATAAAGAAAACAGCAAAAAAATTCCCTGGATATGTATGTATGTGTATATGGGGGGCTGTAGAAAAAAGTTCGATCAAATAGTATTTATTTAAGAACGACAGAAAACATTTCTTTATTTCTAAAAGAATGTGGTTTTTCTATTCTTTTCTTCATTAAAGAAATTGTTAAAAAATGTGTACTAAATCTCAGGATATTTATTTTGAAATATATTTAAGATTTTTCTTTAAATTCGAACACGTTTTAATCATTTTCCTCACTCATAAAAAGACTGATTCTTCTTTCTAGGTAACTATAACATGATCCGTAAATACAATATACGTAGTATTACTGTTTCTACTTTATTAATAAATAATCTTGAAAATACTGAATGATTATTCTTGAATTAATTTAATTTACTCAAAACATTTTTTGTTTATCTTTGCAAAATTATAACAAACTAGCTGTTACCCGCGACTTCGCCCGCAAAAATTTTGCAAGCAAACCCCATTTATATTCAGTATTTCAACAACCATAGTAATTGTTATACAGTCGACCCCTATAACTCTATAACTCTATAACTCTATAACATTGTTGATTTTTCCGTTTTATATGAATTCCATGTTGTACGAGTCACTTAGACTTTACAAATACGCGTGCCGGGCTGTGAACGGCTCACGTATTTGTAAAATGTAAGTGACTCGTACAACATGGAATTCATATAAAACGAAAAAAAATCAACAGTGTTATAGGGGGTCGACTGTATAACACCTACCGCTGAGAGTGATGAGAATTGCTGAGAATCAAACGAACTATTTTCAATTTGATCAATTTTCTGGGACGTTTACAATCGTTCTATAATCGAACCAATATGCAATAACAAATTCGAATTTAAAACGGTTCGAAAACTTTAAAAATCGAAATAGATAAAAATATTTATAACAATGTCTGAGATATTATTAATGCAGCCGGATGGCCGAGCGGTCAAGGCAGCAGCCTACCGCTCTGGGGGAGCCGGGTTCGAATCCGAACGGGTCGAAAAATCCCCAGAAATTTTTCGGGGGGTGGGTCCGTTCGGATATATCGGGCACCGTCCCTCACTACCCGGCTGTCCCATTGCGGGCCTGGCCGAACCCACAATGGGCTTGTGAAAAGAGGCTCTCTTAGTGCCCACAGAGCGGAAAGAGTTAAAAAAAAAAGAAATGTTATTAATTTAATACACCTAAGTACTCGATGAAAACTAACTCCTCTCCCCCGGGGGGAATTTCGAAAAATCCCTTCTTAGTGTGCATTGCCATGGCGTACCCTACTAAAACGCAGATAAAAACAAAAAATCACATATAAAATAGTACAGTAGAAGCCATTGTTCCGGTTAATCCTTAATGGTCTCCCTCTCCCCCCGCGGGGGAATTTCGAAAAATCCCTTCTTAGTGTGCGTTTCCATGACGTACCCTAACTGTCTACCAAATTTTAAGCGGTTTGCTCTGGGCGATGATGAATCAGTCAGTCAGGACAAGCAATTTTATATATTTAGATAATGAATTTTTATGTAGGTATTTTGGATATGCATTTACAAATGTGATGTTTCTAGGGATTTTTTTAGATTCAAACCCCACTCCCGTGGCTCACAAATTGGCCACAGGTCGGTGATCTACTTTCTTGTCAGGGATGGTAGTAACGTTCGGTTACGCGTTACGCGAGTGGAGAAGAGTCGGAGGGGTCGACGATAAGACGTTGGCAAAGTCGAGTAACGACACAATTTAAAAAACAAAACAAGAGTTTATTAACCTAACTAACTAAATAAAATTTATACAAAACTTCTTAGACTCCGCGGATGAGAGAGAGTTTACAATAACAAGCGTTCATACCTCTTTTCATATACTAGTGGGATATTTTCCCGTAATGTCGTCCTTTATGGATTCTGATCGGTGACACAGGTATAGATCGGCGACGAAAGTGTAGGGCTGCGATGGAGAAGGCGATGTCTGACTTCGACGTTCGGCGATTCCCTCGTTGAGGAGAAGGTGTCGGGCTTTTATACCTTTTTCGGTGGGAAAATTAGTCAGGTGATCAATCGTTTTAGCAGGCGTGGGGTTAAATTAAAGGTGGTGATCGAATGACAACAATATGACGAATATTGCCTGTAAGAGTAAACTATTCACGGTTTGATTGTGAGAATGTTTATAGTTAAACCGAAAGAGTTATAAATTTCTCATGCACTTTATATTTCGTTTTTGTAGGTCCAAATTCCTTTACTTAAAGGAATTTTTATTTAAATTTATTAAAAATTTAAAGGATTGCTTTCTTTTATGACATTATATGAATTTCGAATTTCACACAAATATTTTAAATGATGGTAATAGAGAATTTTAGTCCAGTTATAAGAACATAAAATAAAATCGATTTGCTAGGCATTTTAATTAAGTACTGAGTATTTGAAAACATTTTCGTCTCTATAAATTAACTTCAATTTTACTTTCCTCCGGTTATGTATATAGTACATAACAAAGGAAAGTATAAGAATTGTGTCGAATTTGACCCTAGGAGTTATTTGTAAATCTCCACGTTTCGAGACCTCTAGAATCCAAGAAAGTATAAAGAAAACAGCAAAAAAATTCCCTGGATATGTATGTATGTGTATATGGGGGTTGTTGGTGTCTATTTCGCTAAATATCTCAGGATGGGGTAAAGGTTAAGAAACGAAATTTGGCAAGGTGGCTTGTATATGACGGGCACTCATGCAATTAAATTTTAGTGGTGAAAGATGGAGAGAGTAGGAAGATAGAGGAAGGTCATTTATTTCGAGAAGGGTAGAACTCAATGAAGATTTTATTCGTTATCATTTACACTGTTTTATAAAACTCACGCCTACCNGCCGCCATTTTAGCAAGTTGATCCGCCCGATCATTGCCGTAGTCATTACAATGAGATCTCGTCCAATTAAAATAATACTCATTATCAGACTCAATCAACAGTCTTTGAATACTAAAGACCAGAGGATGAACAGACTTCCTCCGAATCGTAGAGAGAGAAGATAGTGAATCGGTAATGATTGCAATTTTGGCATTATTGAGAGCCCGTTCNCAATCAACAGTCTTTGAATACTAAAGACCAGAGGATGAACAGACTTCCTCCGAGTCGTAGAGAGAGAAGATAGTGAATCGGTAATGATTGCAATTGTGAGATAGCCGGGGACGTAGATCTTCGTCTACGCCGCTTACGGGCAACTAGTCGGCGAGACCAATCTCTGTCGTCCAAAGAACGGCCTTTCCCGAACGTAGGGAAACGAGGGGCGGAAGGTCTTTAGTTAAGCCGAATTTTAAGGTGGGGGTCAGTGATGGCGATATCACCTTCCTTACGTCAGGGTCCCGACACCAGTTTGTCAATTATCCGATCCGCGGACAAACACGCGTTTGATTATTTTATAGATCTGATTCAGAGACTCTAGAGGAGACATTCTTTTAACAAATAAACAAGAATAAATTTAATTAAAACATAAATCAATAAAAATAATACAAATAATAGGGTAGTAAGAGACAATGACTACAAATTACAATCTATATGTCGAGAGATATATGGACTTATATCTAACCGATACACGATCGAGAGAGAGAGCTCACAAAATCATTTAAGAACATACAACCTGATCGTTGTCTTTACTCTTCGGCTCTGTATATGAAGTATTTGTTCACTCCTCGAATTCTCTGTCTTCTTTTCTCTGGAGAGATCCACTTAACTGGGTGTATTTCTAGACTCAATCCTTCGTATATTGTATGGCTCATAGTATAGGCGTTGGCCTTTAAGAGCAAATATGTATGGAGTCCTGACTCTTCTATGTCTGTCGATGAACTCCCCGAATTCTGATAAATTTCTTCTATATGTGACGATCGGCGACCAATCATCATACAAGGATTCTTCTGTGGGAACGGGCGGAAAGGGGCATATGTGAGGGGTAGACAGTTCCCATCTGAGCGAGAGTTTTCGCAGATAAGNTGCATTAATATGCTATGACGGCAAAGCAAATTGTAAGGCCAACTGTCATAAACTTTTCTTCGGCCTACGCACAGATTCACTAGAAACACGGATCTCTTTCACAGGATCATATTTTTAACAACACGTGGCATCATGACTGATCCTGTTTCCTCAAATGTGAAATACCAACGAGTTTGGTAATTGTACAGAACTTAAATTACCTTCCTGTAACCACGTACAAGTCGAAGTTCGTGTTTAGTAGCCGTCACGAGTATAAAATTTGCATAATAAAGAATACACTTCGAGCGTTTCTGCATGATATTTTCACTGTTGTCACTTGATTAGACTATCTAATAAACCTTGCTTTGTCGAAGTGGAAGAACTTGAACTTTATAAAACTATTGTGTTTATTATAAAACACAACTTCCAAATTGCTCAACCCAAGCTAATATTGTACAATCTACTCAGTTCGGTAACTGAATTTATAAAATTAAAAAAAATTCTACAGGAATGATTTAATGTTGAAGCACGACCTCTTACTTTATACACGATCGAATATAAATTGCGTATGATTCCATAAAGCAATCTTATGTAATGCTGATTAGTTTCCGTCATGCAGCCTGTTGGATTTCTGAAAAAATGGCTAAAATTTTAATTTGGAGGAGAGGAAATGGTCAATTGGGGTTCTCCAAACACTTGGAAGCACTCTGAATAAAAATTTCCTTTGTAAGAAAAGTTTTTTATTCATTACATTTATCTATGTAAAAACGTTTGATTTTAATTCACTCTACTTATTTTATAAATTCAGTTCCTGAGCACGTTATACCCTATATACACAAGTAATGCATTTATTATAACAGTAAGAACATCATATTTTTATATAAATAAATAGAAATTCATGAACTACGCTATCTAAAGCCTGCATCTAAAGTATTTACATTGAGTATTTTATTACAGATACTAAATTTTATGAAAAGATTTGGGAAGTCGGCATTGAGATTGTCACTTGCAGGATGTTTTGTAATCACTAAGAGATTTCCATTTAGGGTGAGTATTTGAAATAAAAGGATATTAAACGACAACTAAAATTATACCTTATTTAAAACAATTAGATTTCTTTATATTTTGACTAGTATTTCAATAAATTATAAATAATACGAAAACATTTTAACTATTTCAGCTGGCGAAATCGTTGCATTCTATCTTCTCTGGTCTTCTAAAATTGAGAGATGTATCGTACCAAACAGACAGATGTCAAAATGTTTCTTTTGTGAACAGAACAAACTTTTACAAAGACTAAATAATTTTTCTGGAAATAAAAAGATCTCTGGAATAAGTTAAAGCAGGAGAAAACTTTCTGTAGAATTTCATGAGAGAATATACATCATTATTTCATGCTGTTCAATTTTTTCTGCGTAGAAGATGGTGATTTAGTTATTGGAGAGTTTGCGGCCGAAGTTTTCATCTGTAAAACGTGAACGTCGAACGTCGAGCGCCGCTTACAAGATAGCGGCGCTCGACGTTCGGCGTTCACGTTTGAGAGATGAAAACTTCGGCCGCAACCTCGCTATTAAGAATTCTA